GCAATCTGCAGCTGTTGGCCAGCCCTGCCGGACGGGCATTTGATTCCCAACAGGCCGGACCGGTTCGGGAAAAAACGGAGGTATGGTAACCCGACCCTGGCTATCAGTTAAAAAATTATGAGTAAGGATTTTAGAAGAAAGTTTTGGCTTTAGTGTCCTTTGGCTGGTGAAAACAATATCTGCTCTGTTAAAAATACTTGTATTAGTAACAAATGAAAGGATTACTAACGTCACCCTTCACAGAAAGCTACAAGACTAGAACTGCTAATATTTTGCTCTGAGGTAATGTCATTATCCAAACCAAACCCACAACTTCAAACACTCCCAAACTTGGGAAAAGTCAGAACTGACTCCAGACCCAAGCTGCAACTCAGGCCTGTATTCTGGGGAAAAGGAGGCGCTATCTGAAAGTTTGGGGTGTGACCCAAATTTCTGGAGCTTTTCAAAATTTTCTAGAGACTTCATTAAAATATAAATAGTCGTCTCCCCTCCCCACTCTAAACAATAAACCTTACATCCTTCTCAGAGCTCCCTTTTGTAGTGTAACTTTAGTGCCCTCGTGGCCAAGATGGAGTCTGCTCTGCAGGCAGCTCTGGCCAAGAGAAGGCGTGTGCAGGAACACAGCAAGAAAAATTCCTTCCACCCCAGGGGCACCTATTCCAAACCCCCCAGAGTGAACACACACCCCCACAGGAAAAGTACAATGGATAGAAGAAAGGGAAATATTTATTTACAGAGGGATGAGAGGTGAAAAACAACAAGGGGAAATATAGGGGGAGCAGTAGAACAGGGCTGCATCCAAGCCAAGGCCCCACAGGCCCAGTGGTAGCACAGTCTGGAAGGGCAGACACTGAGCAATGTGTCTGCACACAGAGTTCAGGAGTCCTGAGCAAAGTTCCAGTCCAGTGGTGAGTCTTGGGTGCTCCTGGTCGTCTTCGGCGCCAGCGAGTTTTCCCCCAACAAACCCTTCCGGTGCCCTCTTCTGCTGCTCTCTGCAAAGCCACACAGAGCGACCACCTCCCCACTTAACTAGCTAGCAACCTCCTTCCTTGTCCCCAATGCAGAGTCACAAGCCCCAGTAC